TTAATTTCAGATTTAAGGATTAATTCACTTAAGTAATTGGGGCCCACTTATTTGAATTCAAACCCCTCTCTCCTTCCCATGATTCCTTGCCATTAATGACTCCTTAATCACTCCCTGAATTTTAGTTAATTCAAATTCAACTGAGAGTGATTTAATCCAATCAATCCTAATTGGAAGTTATCAAGAAAGAAATCTGGAATTGCTGCATGGCTGAAATATTCACAACCTGAACTCTCGTATATTTTCCTCCATTAAATCTTTCCCGTAACTGCTGAAGCTGAGCCCTGTTGGATTTATGTGGCTGTCCAAAGAGTTCTCCAACTGTTACAGAGTTTTCCCCAACATTAAGCTTGCTCTCCCACCCGTATCCCTCTTAATATTTATTACCTACTCTTTCGGAAAGAATTCCATAACCTGAGAATTTCAAAATCTGAGATGTTTCTAACTCCACGTAACAGCTCTTGGAAATAAATTCCCCCGTCTCAGCAGCTTTTGGAAATAAATTTTGGTTCCAAAATCTGAAACCCTTTCCAAGCCTTTCAGCCGCCTCCTCCTTAATTGTTTTGCTTGGTATTATTTCTCCAAAGCCCTCCCTGTTGCTGGCCGAACTCCTCCATACCCTTTTCCTGGGTTGTCCCTCCTCAATCCTCTCCCTCTCCCACTCAACACCTTGCTGGAATCAAGGCTTGAATGCTCCTCCAATTTCTCTACATCTTTTATACTAAAATCTGGAGATTCACCTCAGATTTTTGTAAGAAATCTGAAACGGTTTTCAGATTCTAAGAGCAAGAAGCTTGGAGCTTGCTTCCCTTCCCCTCTCAAGCGAAAATCTGAGATTCTTCTCAGGTTTTGGGCAAAGAAAACAGACCTTGTTGACAGATTTTGGAGGACTCTCTCGTTTGCAAAGCCCCCTACCCGTTCTACATCACTAACCTTACGGGACCAAGAGTTGCGTCCGCTCCATTCAATTTCCCGCTAGCCTTCCCCAGCCCCAGATCCCTAGCCATCTCCATCAACGTCACGTCCCTTTCTCCTAACCAAGTTTTTCTCTTAAACAATGATTTCTTCTTCTCTAACCAAAATTTTCCTCCAGTCAGTTAAAATCTCTAAAACCTTTTTTTTTTCCTGTGTTGATATAATTTCTTTATAGGGCTTAATTAGGATTTTCGTTTCTTTAAATATTTGCATGTTTTCAAATTTGTTTAAACTTTGAATCAAATTTTTCATTATATGGTTTTGTCAGAAATGGTTAGAGTAAGGAGAAATAGTCAACATAATTATTGCTAGAAGATAGTTAAAGGAGTGTTACAAGGATGAAGAAACACCTCTTCAGCTCGCACAAAAATATTGTATTGTGTGCCAAATTGCCAAAATAGTAAAAGAAGAGATACATTCATATATGAACAATTCAACGAATTCTAAGCATCTGGCGCAACAACAATTTGATGATAGAGTCGATGTCAGCTCCTCTTATGGGAGTGAGCTTAGAGGTAGGGGCTTATCCTCATCCTTGCCATAAATGTCGACTAGTAGAGGAGCAAGAGATCTTATGGATCACTATATAATAAATTTAGAAGATGACAGGCAAGGAGAGAGGGCATTTACATCACAGAAGATGTCTTCAGAGAATGCCAGCGAGGCACGTACGTAGATATCTTTGCATGGATATCAAGATTTTCTTATGAGAATGTCATTTCGTTCAATATGGCAACCTCCCCTTATTACTTCAGTATAAACTGATCCATAGGTTCTTATTGTCAACGCTTGAAACTACGCCCATGTATGAACTTGATAACTCGAGTTTTGAAGGAGTCTAGCAACATAGAGAAAGCCATTGAGGAAACTAGGACTTGGCGTTAGACTAGACTAACAATCATATTTGACGGCTAGTTTGTCATTAAGTATATAAGCTTGATTAGCATTTTCTAATTCCCATTAAACCATTTTTCTTAAAATCAATAGAAGAATTTGATCAGGTGAAAGATACAAAGAATAATTTCAAACAGCTTGATAAAGAGATAAATTAGATTATAGAGCCTTTGGTTGTAAAGCTTATGACAAATAGCGCCTGTGCTTATAGGGCGGCTAATGCCAAGTTGATGGAAAAGATAAAATATTTATATCAGACACCCTATGCCGCACACTGCATGGATCTCACTCTAAAAAAGTTTGGTGACTTTTCTTCTTGATTTTTTTTTTTTTTTTTGCAAAACAGTCTCTAAATAATTTTTAACATGATTAAAATAAAAATATACCCTCATAAGTTCAAATTTACAAGATTTAATTAGACTTATTTCTTTCAACTTTAGTTGAGTGGCCGATGCAAATTTGTGATGACACTCCTGAACTACAACATTTTATTGTTAAGATATTGGGAATTATATATTTGTCATTTAGATGTGAGTACAACTGGAGCACATATAATAAAATTCACACAAAAAAGAAGAAACTATTTGGCGACCTAGAGGATGAACTCCTTAGTGTGTATCATATACCATAAGAGACTAAATGATAGAGATTTGAAAAATAAGGGGTTTATCATCAGATGATGAATGGTTTGTGGATGATAATAATAAGATCACACCAACTAATTTGCAACACGCAGATATGAATGCTAATTTCTTTAATGGGGATAAAAAACAAGACATATATCTAACACAAGTCAACAACAACAAAAAACAAAAATAAAATGTATCTAAGGAAATTTAACTATTTGAAGTTACCTTAAACTTTAATATTCTCAATTTTTATTGATTATTACAAATCAAAGAAGAGGAAGAAGATTAAGATTGAAGAAAAGGAAGAAGATTGAGAGAATCTGGACTCCACTGAAGATGGAGGAGGGGAAAAAGCTATTCACTGTGATGACGACTCCAATAAAAATCATCTAAGTGATGAGAGTGCAAAGGAATTTTGATTACTTACCAAACTTTAGAGGTTGCCATGTTGATAGTAGAAATGAAGGAGAGAAATTTATTATGCTAAAATTAATAGATATCTTACTTTGGTTTGATATAATATGTTACTTTTATTTGATATATTATATTGCTTTGACATATTGATGTTTGCATTACACTCCTAGTTTGCATAATTTATTACTTGATACTTTGCAACTTGCCCAATTTATTACTTGATATATACATAAATTTGTTACTACTCACTATATTAGAATGTTAATATGTCATTTTATAATATATTAATTAGTTATAATGCTAATATATTATTTCTTACATTCATTTTAACTTTAAGCAATTTTTTTCTTGTGAGGCTTATGTCTTGCCTCACCAATAGAAAATGACTCAAACTCCAATTGCTCAATTCTAAATCTTAATAGAAGCCTTCTTTCAAATATTCTATTTATAGTGATAACAAAGAATGGGTTTGAAGACATAATTTATCACAAGATTTTGCAAGATCACTTAACGTTAATAAAATATATCATAACCCATAAAAAAGATTAACCATATCTTTAAAAATATCAATGTAATATTTAAAATAAATAGAAAATATTTCTTTGTTGGCCTCAATGATAGCTATATATTAGATTTTTGTAGTTAATAATGCTACTATCTTTTGAAGTTGAGATATCTAATTGATAGTGGTACCACGCAAGTGTAGAATGTATCCAATGGTATTTCTAATATTTAGTCTTCCCCTATATTAAATCCAGCAACTAATTAATATAATGATTTTAAATAAATAATCTTTTGTAATCGCCTTAACTATGTTTTCTTTCTTGGATCAATGAAAAACATCCTTAAAATATTAGATTAAGCTAAATAATTCATCTTAAGATAAATACATTTGTCAGTGCTATCCCAGAAAGCAAAAACTCCATTTTCTAGTCTAGTTTTATTAAAAGAAAATAACTGCATTTGAATTCTAAAGTTATATTATTTCGTAAATGCAATTAAAAAACTCAGCCAAACGATTGCAAATTTAATGTTGATAATTATTTTTTCTTTATTACATGTGGTAGGGATTGTGAACCAATAATGAAGAATAAAAATTAGACTGAATGCACCAATGACCACTACATTTTTAATAAGAAAACTTAAACCTACTAATGAGAGCCAACCACTTGTATTTATATGCTAATATTTATTTAACTATTTGATATAAGACTAAATTTAGATGGTTTGGTCCCATAAAATGACGGTCTTCCGATGACCCGGTTAAGAAAGCAGAGGTATTAGATTTTACTTATGTTAAAAAAGGTAGAGGAAGACCTAAAAAGGCTTGGTTAGAAAATATTAGAAATGATCTTTCTTTATTAGAATTGAACGAGAATTTGACTTTTAATATGACACAATGGAGAAAAAGGATTCATGTAGCCGACCCCACGTAGTGGGACAAAGGCTTGATGTTGTTGTTGTTTGTTGCTTGAATGTTCATGACATCGGCTATCAGTACACCTCAAGCAAAGCTTTTCAGCATTATCAAATATCATGCATCAAGAGCACTCCCAATCCTAAACTTTACTCAACAATGATAAAGGCGACCAAAACTTATACAAGCCACAAACCTAACCGATTTATCCCAACCAAACCATTGACTATGATACAATTTGTCAGGGTATTGTGAGTGAACCTAAGTGAGGCAAAGTTGGGCCAAATAAACTAATAGTCAAATTTATTTTCTAACTCAAAAACTGAAATCTATAGACGATGGACAACTACTTGTATAACATATTTTTCAACTACATGCCTTAACAACACAATATTTTGGCCTTTACATTTCATATCACGATAATTTTTGAAAGGAAATTGGAATTCAACAGCATTAGGCTCGCATGTATGTGTATGTGGAACAGCTTTATCACAAATATACTCTCATGCATTACAAGGATATCTATTTTTGGTCCACAAATAAATGAAATATTATCAGTTTAACGAAATAAAATACAGGATATACGACTTGCCTCGTAGTGCCCAGAAACTGCTTGAAACTAAAGAAAGTATAACTATCAGATAGCATGCTTGAATAACATAAGCAAAATATAAACATGAAATCTCAAGAGAATGAATACGTAACAAAAGAATAATCAAGTGGAAGGTTGACTTATATGATGGTGAAAAGATAAAGCTCATGAATTGGCAATTATAGCATTTCAAGGTTAAATTTAAAAAAAAAATTCTAACCAAGTTTCCATTGCACTTCCTGAGCTATCAAAACTGTTGTTTCTTGAACTTTCTATCATTTCTGTCTCTCTTCCTAAAATCTCGCTTCTCTAAAGAGTACTGTTTCTTCGTCAATAAATTCTGCATTGCTACTTTCACTGCAGTAGCAGTTGCTGCTAACGCTGCATCCTGCTTTGTAACATGATCACTTCCTTGAAATTGCAAGAGCAACTTCTCACCACCAGGCATGTCTTTATCTTTCAGGATGACAGGATAGTCTCCATGTTCATTTGAAAGAAACTTGTCAAGATCAGAAAGAACTCGGAGCTGAGCCATCTTGGAAACACCTACTTTAGAAACATTAGATGCGCCCATTACCACCCACAATAGTTTCGCAGAAGAACTCAACCCTAAACGTGTAGGCACAAAACTTTCTTCCACAAAAACGAACTGCAAGATAAAAGCAACATGTTATGTACATTCAAACTCAGTATTTTCCTAGTTGTAAGGTTACAGGAAATCAGAGACTAATTACGAAGTCTTCTTAGCTTATCATCAGAATCCGACATGATAACCTTAAGAGAACTTTAAGGGATTCAAGAATGAACAAGAACATGATGCAACATTAAAACTGAAGGAATCAGCATACAAAATACGACAAAAAAGCAAAGAATTTAAGGTAACACCGGCATTTAAGTCTTCAGTTAAAAACTGCTTGAATATCGAAAGGATGCAGATAAAGACATTAGGGCTCATTTGGCTGCTTGTAAATAGAAAATGACATCATTTTCGCTCACTTTGAATAAAAATGAAATCATGAGACAGTTTTTGAGAAGATTTATGAAGTTTGAAAACAATGTTGATATTTAACAATATTACATCAAATAAGAATTTAAAACATCATCGTTCTTCAACACATGGTCGCTGATTTCAACCAGCCATATAAGGCCTTAGTCATAAGAAAAAAAGTCCATGAGTAAATTATGCATAAATGTAAAACTTCAAGAGGAAAATAAAATTTAAAGGGAACAAAATAGTAACTGCAGGACTATGTTGCACTGATACGGATACAGCAACAAGGATACGACTCGATATGGATACGGGACACGTCAATTCTTAAAAATATAGGATACGGGTACGGAGCAGACACGACATTATAATTTATAAATCATACATAAAAATTAAGAAAGCAATCAAAACAAAATATTTAAAATTACAAAAAAAATGAAAGTAACATCATTTGTAGCCTTGTTGCTTATAATTTCAAAATAAAAGTAAGAATTAAATGTTTAGGACAACAACAAAAGCATAAACATAAAATTGTCTAGCACATGAAGTTTCAACTATTCAATAGAAGGAATGATATGATTAGCTTCTTCAGTGGTTTATCTTTGAACTTCTATATCATCTTTAATAAACATCATAGCTTCTAATTCAGGCTCATCAAATGAAAGATTAGCAATTTCTAATATTCCCATATCATCAAGAGACTCAAATTCATCTCGGAAATGAGAGAACCTCGCTTGCAGCCGCAGAATTAAATACGACGGATCTTTTTTTTTTTTTCAACGGACGTACGTATCAATACACGTGCCCTTTTGAATTTAAATAGTCTTTTAATTAGATACAACAAAGTTGTATTCGACATGTATTGGTGCTGTATCAGAAGCGTATTCGTGTATCAGTATATCTGATACAGCATGCCTTCAAGAATAGGTGTATCGGTGCAACATAGCTGTAGGACAACCAGCTCTCTAGAAATATTTTTTTATTTCCGTAGAGACCAGACATAAGTAGATACAATGGCTATAGGAGATACTACCTATGATGGGGACATCAGATCATGGAAAGTATATAAGAGATGTGGCCGACGATCTACGGCCACAATCGCATCGATCTATTTTTGATTCCTCATATGTATTTGTTTTATTTATTTGCTTTATGTATTTTTTTTAGTTGTATTTCCCTTTTTACCCTTAAGGGTTCGTCATGTGTAAGCCCTAAAGGCTATGTCGTCTTTTATTTTTTCATTCATTGTATGAGGCTATATATAACCCCCTTATGTTTCTTTTGAAGGTAATGAATGAATTATAATCAAATTTATGCACATTGAGTTCTTATGAGAGCTTAAGAGTCTTTGGAGAGAAATCCCTTAGAGAGGGAAGCGGATCACCCACCAACTTTGGAAGAGTCCGGGTTCGTGGTTAGTTTCTCCTTATTCCTTCCTCTTCCTTCTCCCCCCTCCCCCCCCCCCCCCCTCCCTCCCCCCCCTTCCCTTCCCTTCCCTTCCATCCCACAGCACACCCAAGTCCCCCAAACCGCCAGCCACCTCCAAAAACCAACCCCCAACGCCGGCCATCCAAAAGCCCCACCCCTTCCCCTTCAGCTAACACCCCAAGCTCCTACCTCCCAACCAACCACACCTCCCCTCACCAAATCCAGCCGGCCAATCCACCCTAGCCGCCGGCCCCCCTTGGGATTTCCCCATTAATTTTGCAATTAAGCCTTCCTAACTAGGTCTTTATATTTTAGGCAACCCAATTAATTCACAATTCAAATCTATTTGAATTTGAATTTGTTACCTAAAATACAAATTCTATTTTAGGAAAGTTTCTAAAATTAAATCCTATTTGAATTTAAATTCAATTCAATTTAATTAAATATTTTCAAATTCCCAATTCCAAATCAAGCAACCCTTGATTGTCTTTCCCCAATTCCCTCTCCCCTATTGAAACCGCCAGCCCCTCTCTCTCTCTATGTCGCCGGCCCCTCTTCATTACCCCATTTGATTACTTTCCAAATTGCAAGCCTCTCTCTTTGGGAAGAATTCAAAGCCTCTCCCTCTCTCTTACCCGCCCCCTCTCTCTCACCTATTGGCCTTTTAATTCTTTCCAAACTTAAGGATTAAATAGGGAAACAAATTCCCAAATTTCCCTCCATCCTCCCTCCCCAAAATCTGAACCAATTTCTTCCTCAAACCCTTCCTTTGACCGGCCACCCTCTCCCCTTTTCTTCTACTTGGATTCTTGAGAGAAACTTCTTTCTCTCAAAGGAATCCTTAAGGGAGAGCAAAGGACGTCGTCTACAACATTTCAACACTACGAAATCGATGCATGACCGATCCCGATCTTGACTCCGGCTTCGTCTACAACGAACAAGGCTTCGTCGACATCCTCCGGTCGCCCTTCTTCGATGTCAATTCGGAAGTAGACAATTTCACAGAAGAGTACTTGGAGCGTATCATCTTCACCTTGTCCGAAGCCATCGAAGAGCAGTTGTCCACCGTTTAGTGGCGAATCACCACCGTCCCACGACAAGGGTGAACTTTCCCTCCTATCAATTTTCTTTTAATCTTCTTCTCTTGTAGGTTGTGAGTCAAGCACAAGGAATCGTGCAAAGCTATCTGTCAATGCTCAGTAAACGTGGGGCATGCGTTTCGATTTTCTATGCATTCTAATCTCATTGTTAACCTAAGGATGCTATTGAAAATCTACTTAATTTGCATATGTTGAAAATCTAATTATTTTGGTGATCTTAACTTTTAGCGTGTGATTTGGCCTAAGCGAAGTCACCTCTCCTTTTTGTTTTCTATTATCGTTTAGTAGCTAACGTTTTAATTCTTAATGCTCTTATTCAAAACGTGCAAGTTCTATCGCATTCATTTAAATCATACTTAGTCCTGCATCAGCCTACCATTTACTCTTTAGACCGAAATACTAAGTTATCAACAATTGGAATAGTAACTGCAGGACAACCAGCTCTCTAGAGATATTTTTTTTATTTCCGTAGAGACCAGACATAAGTAGATACAATGGCTATAGGAGATACTGCCTACATTTACTCTTTAGACCGAAATACTAAGTTATCAACAAGTGGTAAATTTCTCAATTTGCACCAGGCATCGAATAAGAATCTGAATCCCGTGTTCACTGTAGACTCTCACCTTGGCAATGAAAAGACGTCTAGCAGGAACATCACATTTCAGGATCATAACTCCGTGTAAACTGCAACATAAGGCAAACCATAAACAGGAGCTCTCTAGTAAATCAGTGCAAAACTTCAATTAGTAAGTATTTAGAAGAAGTTCGAACTTACCCTTGTATAGCAGCAGCAACAAATGAACCATCAGGAAGGGCATTTATGTCAGTGACTGCCGCAGAATACTCAACTTTCTCCTTAGAATCGAGCAATCCCGCCTTGAAATGGAACTTTAGTTACTAAAGAAAAATAAAAACACAATAATAAAGAAAATGAATGCCAACTTATCAATTTTCTTTAGTTTACGACATGTTGCAAGGGTTAGTTTATAGGAATAGAAACTTGAAAACCAAAATATTTGAATAAACAACTCGTGACAACTGCAAAATCAAAGAACTCAAAGAAATGACACAAACATAATTATTGTTCGTAGTACTACCAAAACATCCAATGATCAAATAATGCATTGAAGAAAATTTATCCAGGAACATATTATGTCAGATTGAAACAAAGACCATAAGGCAAAAAGGTTTTGAATTGTATAGCGAACTTTGATCTGTATAATGGCTGTTTTGTTTCTGCCGCTTATTCTGCTATCCTACTGTTGTAGAGAAGCTTTCCCTTGTTTTTTGGCCGATACTTTCTCAGTTGCCATCTGACAGCTTCTTGCTGATCAACATCTCCCCTGTTCTAAATGCTGATCCACCGGCCATCCGCTTCCTACAACAGTTACAGGCCAAAAAGATTTCCACAGATCCTCAATTTCTGAGGCAGCGAATCAATGGAATCTTCTATTTTCTACAGCTTTCTTTCTCTCGCAACATTGTAACAGGGGATGATTGCGATATTTCTGCTAATTGGATGCAATCCAAATTTGGTAAAAGTGATTTTCAACTATCTTCTAAATAAATTCTAAAAAAAAGCCTTCAAGCATGCATAGAGCTCATTGGTCATTAAACAAAATTTTAGTTGGATGCATAATTCCTTCTTCCTGAGTTCAATTCCATCTTCCAGGATTCAATTTCTTGATCGGGTAAAAATTTTTGAATAATTCCGCAAGAGATTATTTTCTTGGCACAAGAATGGTGAAGTTTGCTTTTATGGCAATTTTTGTCCCCTTCTTTATATTTATTCTTTTATATATTGTTGACCTCCACAAAAATAAAATAAAATAAAATTTTCAAATCAATGCCTTACCTCGGCCATCTCACGGCGTGCTTCGCATCAACTCCCCATGCCTGCGTCATGCCACCCACGATCTTTGCATGATCTCTGGCTTCAACGTTAAAACGAGAATGAAAGATGTTTCGTTCCTTCTTCACCCTCGAGCTCCAAAAATCCTTCACGCCTCCTCTCGGTTCGACTTTCTCGCAGCTTCTCCACTCCAAACCGATGCTTCTTCCTCCCTCAATTGAGCCGCAAGCACTTCGATCCCCCCTCTGCTCTCTTCTGATCCACCTCATAGCCGAACACATCCCACCTCCTGCCGCAAGTTCCCGATCGGACATCATGATCCGTCGAATCTGCCTCTCAGCCATCCCAAACTCTGATCTAATCTCCCCTCATGCCTCAGCAAGATCTCGAGCCAGCATGCCAACCCGCTGACCTCTTCCAGCCTTCAATCTCGATCTCCCCTGTCACGATCCGGCCCGGTTAGCTCGTATATACGAGGCAGAAACGAGATCGGACATTTAAGTTAATCACAATTCGTCTTTTCAATGTAATGGTAAAGATATGCAAAAACAAAAGAGCCTCTAAAACTTTTAATTCCAAACCACATGTTGTTCATAATATACAAGATGGCGAAAATTTAATCTAATCATGCTCTGCAAGCCATCCAAAAATTTAAAGAACTACAGAAAACTGTAAAAGAACCTGCCACCCGTTGCGCGTCGACTGTAGGTAAACCTCGGGTGTTCGGCCATCACCTAAGAGTAGGTTCTCCTGAAAATTTCCCAAAGCTAGGGAATGAGCTACGCTCTGCAGAAATTTCTAATCCTAAACATGCTCATTTGACTAAAAATGTACATGCTTTAAGCAAAAGGGAACATGTGTTTCTTTTCTAACTCATAATGTCTTGATTAGGTCATAATGAAAGATAATATCTTGTTTATGTCATAATGAAAGATAATGTAGGTGTCATATGCATATGTCATCTAGATGTGTATAATGCATGTCATCTCACTTATTTAACATATTCAACCGTCCCGGAGTACCAGGGGTGTACTGATCAGGTACACAAACCTCTTTTGGCTATTTATTTCTTTTTCCTCATTTGCCCCAAGGGACATCATGTTCCATATTATTCATATGTGCCTTTGGCACCGTCTTTGGTACTCCGTATTCAATCATGCACAAATTTTTTTTTTCTATATTATTTCATATGCACATATATTCCTTTCATTGCATACAAAGTCATATATGTTTCCATGAACAAATGTGTGACATAAATATCTAATCATGAATTTCATAACTTCTAATACAAAGCATGAAAGAAATAATGATGTAACTAGATTGCATGTGTATGGCATAGTAACTACTATTCCATTTCTCAAACAAATAACAAAATAATATAAGCATGAGAAGGAAAAAAATTTCCTACCTCCAAAACCTATGAAATCCGCTTCTTCTCCATTTTCTTTACTCTTCTTCTTGCCACTACCTAAAGACAAATAAGTCAATTTTAAACTTCTTGCCAAAGTAAACTTTAGGTTTCAAAATTTCTTTTATAGGCTTCCTATAATCTTCTTCCACCTATCCTTAAGGTCAAAGAACATCAACCTCATACAAAATTTTTTTATAGTTTTATAAAGTAATTTCGGATTTAATTAAAATAGAAAATATAGGAATCTAAAAAGTCATCCAATTCATCCTAAATCCTTCTAAAACATTCATCTTTCTTTTACTTATAAATAAATTCTTATTATTTTCGGAATTAAGCATAAAATAATAAAGAAAATCTTATTTTTGTTCAAATTAAAATTTCTTTTCTTTAGAGACCTCTCTAAACCCTTAGGAATATGTTTTTCCATACATGCAAGCTTTAATTGACTTCATTTGGAAAAGCCCTAATTTTAAAAATCAAAATTTCAAAAGAAAACTTTGCATTTGCTTTATAACATCCCTTCCCTCATTTCTCCTAACAATTGCATACAAAAATAAGTCAAAAGAAGAAACCCTAATTTTCGGATTTCACATTTTTTTCTTAAGAAATCTTACCATTTATGGTATAAAACAATAGATCCAAACAAGGCTTAAAGGTTTTCTAAAGAAATCCCCCAAAAAAAATCAAACCCTAAAATTTCTCTATGCAAAAAATCTCATGAAAATTTTCATTTCTCTTAAAAACAACTTACTTCAAGTCTTCCTCTATGCTTTTCCTAAAGATTCTTGCCGGAATCTCATCGGAATCTCGCCGGCCGCCGGCTTGGAAGGAGCTCTCTCCGCTTCCCCCTCTCTCTTTAGGTCGGCCGAACAAAACAACAAGGGACCGAAATAATCGGTCCCTTAAGGTTTATGAGGGTTTTAGAAATGAAATTTACGCATGTGCCCTTGACCTATTCATTTCCCTTTAAAGCACTTAGGGGTAAAAATAGAAGTTTAGCCAAAATTTACTTAAACAATCTTCGGCGAATTTTAATTCTCAAATCATGCGAAATTAGGTATAAGTTCTTTATACCGTTTCGATCGAAATTTCGAGACGAATCTAATGAAATTTATTTCGTCAATTTCCGACGACATCAAAATTTCACTTAAGTTCGTCGCGGCGCATCGATATGCGTGCGACGCACTCAAATGACGAATTCCGGGTTTTACAATTCTCCCCTTCTAATAAAAATTTCGTCCACGAAATTTGAAAAGAGATAAAACCAAACAATCATACCTTACGCAAAGAGATGAGAATAACCCTTCCTCATTTCTGACTCTTTTTCCCACGTGGCATTCTTTTCCAATCCATGCTTCCAAAGTACCTTCACGAATGGTATCTCTCTGCTCCTAAGTTGCTTTACACTAAATTTCAGAATACGATCCGGTTCTTCAACATATGTAAGATCTGGCTGTAAGTCCACATCTTCCGATATGATCTTAGAAGGATCATCCGATATATACTTCCTCAATGACGAAACATGGAACACATTATGGACAGCATATGTAATGGGTAATGCTAATCTGTATGCCACCCAAAATTGACCCGTTTTTGACCCGGCAACCCGAGATTGACCCATTTTTTACCCGAAAACAGAGATTGACCCATTTTTGGATCCAAAAACTAGCAGTTTTTTTGTTGGCACCGGGTCATTCCGGTCGGGTCAGGTCGACCCGGACTTGAAGCGGGTCAGGTTCGGGTCCGAAAAACCGACGTGTTTGCAAAAACGGGTCAGGTTCGGGTTGACCCGAATAGTGCTGGGTCAGTTTCAGGTTCGACCCGAACCCGACCCGTGATCCGAAATTGACACCCCTATATATGAAAAAAAGAAGAAAGAAATAAGAAAGAAAAGAGAAAGAAAAAAATAAGAAAGAAAAAAATATGATTTTTTTCATCGCCGCCATCCCAACGTCGATTTTTTTCATCGCCGCCATCCCAACGTCGTCGATGTTGAGAGGGCTATGTTCGTCGATTTTAAGATGACATCTATGTTCGTCGATTTTGTTTAGCTTATGATTTTTTCAATAAAAGAAATGAGCATCTCATCACTTATATAGTACAACCCAGATTGAGACTATTTTCTTATAAGAAAATTAGATCGGTTAGATTGCAAAGATTGTAAAGTTATTCCGAGTGAAAATGTATGTACCCAACATCGATTATTAGTTTTGGACTTTAAGATAAAGGGGCAGATAATAAAAAATAAAGTAAATCGATATTCTAGGATTAGTGGGGGCATTTCAAAAATATTAACAAAAATATTTTTGAGAGTAAGATTTTAGATCTTAAGATTTTATCTGTGCATGAGAATGCTAATATTATGTGGGATAAAGTGGCTAGTGATATTAAGAATATTGCAAAAGATGTGCTTAGAGTATCAAAGGGAAAAGCTCCTAATAGTAAAAATAGTTGGTGGTGGAATCCAAATGTGCAAGAAAAGATTAAGAATAAGAAGATTTGTTATAAAAATTGATTTAATTTTAAAAATTCTAATAATTGGGAAAGATATAAAGAGGCTCGTAAGGAATCTAAGAAAGTAATATGCGATGCAAAGACGTTAGCTTTTAGTGATTTATATAATAGATTAGATACTAATGAGGGAGAAAGATATATGTATAAGTTAGCCAAACAAAGAGAAAGGAGTAGTAAGGATTTAGTTCAAGTGAAGTGTATTAAGGATGAAGATCAAAAAATATTTTTCTTAGAAGATATTCAACATATTTTGCTAAACTTTTTAATGAAAATTATGAAAAATAAGATTGACTATAGTGACCTTAGCACCCTAAATGAAAATAAAGATTTCTAAGAGAAGTGCTATGGAGAGTTCTTGAAAAGAAAGGAGTTAATAATGCTTATATTCAAATCATTAAAGATATGTATGCAGGAGCTATTACTTGTGTTCAAACACAAGGTGGATTGACCAAGTATTTCCCTATTTCGGTTGGGTTACATCAAGGATCAGCCTTAAGCCCATATCTTTTTGCTTTAGTCATGGATGTTCTCACTAGACATTTGCAAGATGATGTACCTTGGTGTATGCTTTTTGCTGATGATATTCTTCTTGTTGATAAGACTAGAGAGGGAGTTGAAGGTAAACTTGAATTATGGAGGTCAACCTTAGAGTCTAAAGGTTTTCGCTTGAGTAGATTTAAAACGGAATATATGGAGTGTAATTTTAGCAGTAATAGTCCTAGTGAGGGGATTGTGACTTTGGGCGATCAAGTCATTAATAAGGGTACACGTTTTAGATATCTTGGATCTATTGTTCAGAGTGATGGTGAAATAGATGGGGATATTATCAGCAGAATTCAAGTTGGATGGTTGAAGTGGAGGAATGCATCGGGCTTGTTGTGTGATAGAAAAGTACCCCTCAAACTTAAGGGAAAATTCTATAAGATGGTAGTGAGGCCTGCAATGCTTTATGGTGCTGAATGTTGGCCATTAAAAGAGAAGCATAATATTAAGTTAAGTGTGATAGAGATGAGGATGCTCAGGTGGATGAGTGGCTTTAACCTTAGAGATAGGATACTAAATGAGCATATACGTGAAAAGGTTGGAGTAGCTCCAGTAGAAGATAAGATTAGAGAGAGTCGCCTTAGATGGTTTGGTCACATAAAACGGCGGCTTTCCAATGACCCGGTTAGGAGAGTAGATGTATTAGATTTGACTTATGTTAAGAAAGGTAGAGGCAGACCTAAAAAGACTTGGTTAGAAAATATTAGGAATGACCTTTCTTTATTAGATTTAAACGAGAATTTGACCTTTAATAGGTCAAAATGGAGAAAAAGGATTTATGTAGCCGACCCCACGTAGTGGGATAAAGGCTTGATGTTATTGTTGTTGTATCGAACAAAGATGAGCTATCAAGCTGTGGGTATAGAAATTGCTAACGTCGAGCGTCAATGTCAGACTTTGATACTGAGATGATTTTCGAATGTTGATATTGTATTGACGTCTGACGTCCATGTTGAGATGACATTGGGCATTGGTGTAAAACCAAAGGCGCGACCCGCCAAAGAGAAATAAAAATGAGAATATTTGATGAATGAGATATTGAGTGTAGGCAATTGATTTTATGTTGTGGAGAGGAAATAAGAAATTTAATTTGTATATTTTAAATAAATAAAAATTTTAAATATAATTAATTATATTAAAAAAGTTCATAAAATATTTAAGACACGTATGTTCGACACACGTGTTTAATTTGTATTTACTATTTTTTAATCAGGCACATTTTCGGCGTGTCTAACACGTATCGGAGGCGTGTCGGACGTGTGTTGTGTCATATACGTGTAGGATATTGCAAGACTGTTTGAGGAGAAGTGTCGGTGCATCATAGTTAGAGGCTCTTCATTAGAATCATTATTATAATTGATTGTTATCTCACTTCCCACATCTCACTTGCATTAAAATCCCTCACAATCTCCTTCAACATTTTCAATCTAAATCAGCTTTCTCTTCGATAATCAATAACAACTCTTCAACATAAATAAATAAAATAACTCTAGAGAACACATCTCTTTTTCCCCGCATAAAGCTATAGCCTCAAGGTGTTTTGCATGAGCCTCTCTGAGGCATACCTCAAGGCACGTAACTTGTTGCACAATTTTGAACATAGGATAATGATGCATTATTTGCAGTTCATTTGAATAAATTATTTGCTAAATTTTGACAACTAAATGCCAAGCATAATATATTGATAATGCATGTTCATTCTAATAATTAGGGTAAAATTAATAAAAATTAAGCATTAACTTAGATATAGCATGCATGCTTTCACCATTCTATCTATGATAGATTATTAAACAATATTTGAAAGCCTTACTGAATTTTTAGAAAGCTAGAACCTATTGTGTTTTTACTTGTTTTTCCTTTCATCAAGAATGTTAATCCAAGTTTATGATAAGGACAATTGATATAAGAAGGCCTTTTGAGACAAAAAAATTTACTATAAATTTCTTTGCAAATAAAGTTTTTGCTATGATGCACCAGCACTCCACCATAAAAGCGTATGTAGTGTCCAAAACATGTCAAACACGCCTATCACGTCTTTAATTAAACAAAAAAGAAAAAAAATTCTAGCATGTGTCTTGAATAACTAAGTTCAAATTTTGTAAATCTTAACTAAATGATAATTTAATAAATAAATAAAGCTAAAATGAGTAAAAAATTTAATGTTCTTAACTTTTTTTTAATTTTTACCCTTCATTTGTCCCCTATCATGATTTATGAAAGGTCCATGAATTTTTTATTCATCCTTTCTACATACTTATATATATATATATATATTCAAAATTATAATGATAGAATTTGCTAAAACATTTCATGTTCAATTAATTAGTGTAATTATGTATGATGCATCGACACGAACATGGCGACACGAACATAGGCACGGAACAAGGCTATCATTGAAAATACAGGACGCAAGTACAAGGCAGACATGACATTATAAATTTTAAATAGTGTGTCTAGAAATTAATATAGCATCATATTAAAAATGACAAACAATAATAAATCAAAATAATAATTATTTGTCTAGCTTATAATATAAAACGTCTAATAAAATCACAAAAATATAAGCAAAAAACTATTTGGTACAACATCGAGCTTTAACTACTCATTAAAAGGAATATAGACTTCAAGGGTGTCTTTGCCTTCAATATCATCATCATCGAATATAGTTGTGCAGATCTACCAAATCCTTCACAAAATATATCCAAAAAATGCATTTCACAAAAAAAAAGACCAATGCAAATCATATAAATCTATACGCAACTAAAAAAGAGTTCAAATATCATATTCTACCTTGAAAGGACCTAGAGAAGATGGTTCCACAATCATAACAATACTCATGCGTCCTAGCCTACCTACGGAAATGAAAAAGACAACGAACACCAACCTTCAATTGCTTGTTTGCACTCATCTTCCTTTGCAAAATAAACAAGACCACAAAGACACAAGCTCCTTTAGCATCGCTTGCTCACGTAAATGAAGACTCCTTCGACCTCACCTGCTCACGTAAACGAAGATTCCTTTGACCTTGCCTGCTCGTGTAAACGTAGACTCCTTCGCCCTCGCCTGCTTCCGTAAACGAAGATGACGCAAAACCCTCGCCTACTTGCGAGAATGATAACTTCGAATACGAAAGGATACGGGATAACCTAGAGGAATACACACTGTCCAGCTCGCTTTATGTTTTTTTTTTCTTTAAATGTTATTAAATATTAGGACACGCGTATCCAACATGAGTGTCCATTTAAGTTAAAATATTATTTCAATCGGACATGTTTCAGTCGTGTTTGACATGTGTCCCAACCGCATGTCGGGCGCATGTATGTGTTTGACACTGCATACCATAATATATAGGTGTGTTGGTGCATCATAGGTAGTTATTATATATTATTTTAATTTTAAAAATAAATAATTTATAATGCAGTGTCAAAGGCATATTTATGTCCTATATTTTCAAAAATAAGAGTTTCTGTCACGACCCGGCCCGGTTAGCTCGTAGATACGAGGCGGGAACGAGATCGGACATGTAATAAAATTATCTAATCATTCTTCTTAACAAAAATAAAACTATTCATTGAACTCATCAAAGACAAAAAAAACGCCTCTAAATCTTTTCTAATTTCATTCCAAAAGAGTTTTCAAAATATACAAGATGGCTAACTTCAATCTAAACATGCTAGGATAAGCCATCAAAAAAAATATATAAGTACAACAAGTAAAACTACTAAAACTGAACCTGTCACCCGGCGTACGACGGCTGTAGGTGAACCTTGGGTTTTCATCCATTTCTTCTACTAGGTTCTCCTGAAATTTCCCAAAACTAGGGAGTGAGCTACGCTCAATAGAAATTCTAATCCTAAACATGCTCAGTTGACATAAAGAAAATATTGATTTACTTGCTTTGAAAAGAAAAGGGAACATGCGTTTAAATGTCTCAATTATGTCCTCATGAAAGATATGTAAATGTCATATGCATATGTTATAATTATACTTCATGCATCTTATTTAACATAATCAACCGTCCCGGAGTACCGTTTTGTACTGATCAGGTACACATCTTTTGGCCATTTCTTTTCCTCAATTGCCACAAGGGCCATCTGTGCCTTTTCCTCAATGCCACAAGGGCCATCTGTGCCTTTGGCACCGTCTTTGGTACTCCGTATTCAATCATACACATTCCATTCAATATTTCTTTCACATGATCATATAATTTTTCTTTGCAATGTTTGACATAAAGCTTTACACAATGATACTCATGAATTTGAAACATGAAGGAAACAAAATGCTATAAAATGCTTTACAATATAACATGAGGCTTTACCATATAACATGAAATAAACATGAAACATGAAATAACAATTGAACATGTAAGGATAGGAATTCCTACCTCAAGGCTTAGTTATCCTTTCCTTTGCAAAGCTTTACTTGTCAACAATGTTTCCTCTTGAAACCTATGGATCCAAAAGTCACAACATAAGTCTCTTGCATATTAAGATCTCTCCTAACACTCTCCCTTAAACCTACTAAGAAATTTTCCTATGGAAATTTCAGTTTTGTACCTAAAATCCCTAAGGTTGGAAACCAAATTCTTCTAATAGCATTCCAATAGCATGTTAGAACCCTTCTCTTTCCTAATTATAAGATAAATACTCTTAATTTTCGGATTAGCAAAATTAGGAAATTAGGAAAATATTTTTTCTTTTCCGAAATCTCATTTTCTTTAATTTAGAGGCCTCCTAAAGACATTGGAAACAATAAATGTAAAGGTCTCTACACAAAAACTAACATTTTGGAGAAACCCTAGATTTGTCCTAAAATCCAAAACTCAAAAGAATTCAACGAAACTTCATTTCCACCGTTAAAACTTCGTTCTAAAGTTATCCTATTAATTTCATTCAAAAATTCTAAGTTTTGAGAAAGCCCTAAAATTTTACCTTGAGAAAAACTAGGGAAAGGTGAGGGATTTTTGCATGAAACTCTTACCTTAAGTCTTCCCCTTGCTTTCCCTAAACTTTTCTCAAAAGAATCTCAAAGAAAACTTAAGTTTTTCTCAAACCCTAGTTTTCATTCCTTAGGGAAAACTCAAGGGAAAAGAAGAGAAACTCTTGCAAAACACATACCTTAACCTTCCCTTAGATTTCCCTACGCTTTCCTCCAAGTTTGGCCGCCGGAAACCGCCGCCGGAGCTCGCCGAAATGGCTCCTACCCGCGCGCTCCTTCCTCTTCTCCGCTCGGTTTGGGCCGCACGAACGAATGGGGGGAGAATAGAAGGATTTCGGTTCATGTATAGAGGGGTAATGGGTTTTGCCAAAAGACCCCTATGCCCTCACTTAAACAACCCATGCTTAAATAAACATTAAGGGTACTTTGGGAATTTTTGAACTTCCAAAAATTATATCTCTTAATTTAAACGAAATTTGATACAAGTCCTATATACCAAATTGATCGGAATTTTACGCTCAATTTTATAAAATTAATCCCGTCAAAATCCGACAACATTGAAATTTTCACTTAAAACTCGTCGCGGCGCTTTGAAAAGCGTGCGAAGCCTAAAACGATGTTTTCGGGTTTTACACTTTAAAAGGGGTCATCTTAGAAGCTGAGGGATATGAAGTATTGTACCATTACTCTGCCCACGCTAGTCACTTGGCCAACAACCGAGGTGTCTCTGAAGAAGAAAAACCACAGGCAAGTCTCCAGGCTTTTGTTGACTACCTCTGTCTGCCCATCTGTCTAACGATGATAAGCGGCACTTCTCTTGAGAACTGTTCCTTATAGCCTGAACGTCTCCCTCCAGAGCTGACTAAGAAACACCTTATCTCTATCAAATACTATCGACTCCATGATTCCGTGCAATCTAACCACCTATTTGATGAGTGCTGTTGCTATTGTGACTACTGTGTAGGGATGTCCTAAAGGGATGAAGTGAGCATACTTACTGAACCTGTTAACCACCATTAGAAACACTATGAACCCCTCAGATTATGGTAACCCATTTATGAAATCCATGGTAACCTCTTCCCACACTGTCTGGAAGACCCAAGGGTTGAAGTAATCTCCTTTGAACCATAGCCATGTACTTTTTTCTCTAGCATACCTCACACTAGCCACCATCTCCTCCACATCCTTATGCATACCCTTCCAATGCAATTATGCTTCCAACCTTATGTTTGTATTCTGCACACCTGAATGACCTTCTACCGCGTTCCCATGGAATGCCTGTAGGAAGTGGGAAATATGAACTGAGGTCTGTGGCATCATAAAGCTCACTTGGTATAGTCTCTCTCTCGCTTTAGAGAATAGCCTGGGTGGCTGCTCTCATCCTTTTGTAGATTAATCCTAATCTTCCTCAGCTCCTCATCTTAGACACTTTCTTCTTTGATACCCCCCCC